TATAGACTATAGCTTTAACTAGTTAGAAGCTTTCTAGACTATTTTATATAAGCTTATAAAGGTAGACTAGCTACTCTTAATATTATACTATCTTTAGACTAATAGAAGTATAGAGTATATAAACTAGAAGATATAGATAGTACTATATATAATAGTAAACTTTAAACAAACTAACTAGCCTAATTATTTTCTAGCGTATTAACTTACTTTAAATAACTATAACTTAAGTATTATAAAAGTTAGCTTAAATCTACTACTTAATAAATATATAGTAAAGACGCTATAGTAGGTTCTACTTTAGAAGAGGTCTATATACACTTTTAAGAGCTACGCTATTTAGTTTATAAAGTATCTAAAGTCTAGGCTTAATCTAGCCTAAGCTATAATTATTTTTATCTAGTAGTAGTAATAAAAGGCTATAAACTAGTTACGCTATCTTATAGAGTAATTCTAGATTAGTAATAGAGTATAGTTTTTTATACGTAATATTAAGATAAACTAGTCTAGTAAGAAATTAGACTAGCTTTAAGTAAAGTACGCTATAATAGTAGTGCTATTCTTTCTTATAGTTATCTTAAACCTACTTAGAAACTTATATAAAACTATCTATATAGATTTAGTAGAGTAAGTAGTAGTAGATTCTCTACTAAGCTAGCTACTAATAAATATATAACTAGAGCCTATAGTAGACCTATATAAAAATAATAAGAATTTACGTAAATAGATAGTAGAGAAAGTTTTATAAGTAAAAAACGCTTTTAGTTAAAGCTAGTAGAAGGCCTTAGTAAAGTAGGCTAGCTATATTATACTAATATAGATTAACTTACTTAAACTCTCTAAGACTAAGGCGCTAGATTATTTTAAAGCTAAATATAAAGACGCGTATTTTTATAATAGACTAGTATATTATAATAAGAAAAGAAAAGATATATAATAAATTTAGCCTTAGGCCTATAATAAAGAAGTTAATTTAATAGCCTTTAGCTTACGCTATCTAGTACGTACTATAAATCTTAAGAATAGTAACTTTATAGGCACTATATAGACCTAGACTAGAAGTATATAGAGTCTACTTAGTTATTCTCTATTTTATAATAAATCTACTTATTAGAAAGACTACTACTTATATTAAACTACTTATTAAGCTTTAGAATCTTCTTTTTAATTTTAGAAAACTTCTACTCTAGCTACTATTATAGATTCTTTTTAAGTAAAATTAGATTTTTTTTAAGTAGAAAAGGCTTCTTCTTAAATAAAAGCTACTTCTAGACGTAGCTAAAGCTTTAGAAAAGTAGCTCTAAAATAAGTTAGCTTTTAATATAGTAGTGTATAGAATAGTTATTATATAGTAGTAGAAGAGTCTCTTACTTAATAAAGTCTTAGCGTAGAGTATTACTACTAAAAGTTAATAATAGTAAAATTTAGAAAAGGTAGGTCTCTAATTTAGTCTTAGACTTAGAGTTAGATATAGACTAGCTAGATAATATTAAAATATAGCGCTAGAGTTAGTTAGAGGTAGAAGAGTTAGTAGATAAAGTAGAGTCTAGAGCTAGTCTAGAGTTACTAAGCTACTTAGTAAAATTCTCTATTAGCTTATTTTAGTTTTACTTAATATTTTTATAAACTTTAGTGCTATAGTAGACTATATTTATATAAGGCGCTAAAGAATTCTATATAGAGATAGATACTAGAGTACTATATCTAAAAGTACTACGCTACTTATATATAGTAGAAAAAGCTTATACGCTTAAGTTTAGAAAAGAAATAGCGCTAGACTAAATATTAATATAATAGTAACTATAGTAGGTAGTATTTTTAGTAGTTTAAGAGTAGTTATAAAAGAGGTTAGTATAGTAGTTAGCGCAGCGCGTAGAAACTTTATACTTCTTATTATCTAAGTTATATTTATTCTTAGACTAGTTATTAATTTAGTAGGCTTAGTAGTAGAAACTAGAGCTACTTAAAAGTAGATAGTCTACTTAGTAGTAGTGCTTTAAGAGCATACTAGGTAGAAGTTAGTTCTAATAAAAGTTAATATATAGATAGTATAGAGAAAGTTAGAGCTTATACTATAATTTTACTAAATATATTTTTCTACTACTAAAACTAACTACTAATAATATTTAGAGCGCTACTAATAAAACGTATAAAATTATTTAAATTATTTAAGCTATAACTAAATACTATAGAAATAACTATATTTCTCTAAGAGAGATTAAATAGAGATATCTAGTTATTAGATAAGTGTAAAGCCTTATACTAGTGTTAAGTAGAGAGTTTATAAAAGGTAGCTAGACTAGAGCTTTACTTAGCTATAGTAAAAGTTAATTTAAAGTAGTAGTAGAGAATATAAAAGCGTAGTATAAACTTTAGTATAGTTCTAGTTATAGGCTATATAGTACTATACGTTTCTAGATCTATAATATAAGCGTTTCTACGCTTAGTACTCTACTTAATATAGTAGTTCTAATTATAGAATACGCAGCGTAGCTTAGAGTTAATAAAGAACTTAAGTATATATAAAGTACACTTTACTTTATAATAGCTATAAAAAGAATATAAAAAGCTTAGAAGAAGTTAGCTTATAGTCTAGACTTTTAAAAGAACCTAAATAAAATAAACTAGTACTAGGCTTATACTTATACTTTCTAAACTAGAAGAGTAGCGTAATATATAGAATATATAGATAATTCTTAGAGTTAGTCTTAGTAAAGTTAAAGTTATTAAAGTTACTCTTAACTTTATACTAGTTTATACAGCGCTACTTACTTTATTATATATTAGTTAGAGTATAGTCTAGACCTAATTAGAGCTTTTATCTTAGAGTTATAGAAGAAGCTATATCTAGAGAGACTAGTTAGCTTTTTTAGATCTTAGCTACTAAAGGCACTAGTAGTAGTAATACTAGTGCTACTATTTTACGCGTTAAGAGAACTAGCTAAAGTAAATAGTACTAGAGCTATAAGCTAGGTAAAAATAATATAAAACTTTATAATAAAAGGTATAGATATAGTTTAGAACTAATAAGTTTTTAAAAGAGGTAAGTATAAAAGTTATAAAGTAAAGAATTTAGAGTAGATTAGAATAAAGGTAAGTTATATTAAAGTATAAGTAAGATCTTAAATAAAAGCTATATTATAATTATAAAAAATTATAATATAACTTTAGTCTAGATATAGTTTAAAGTTATTATAACTCTATACGTAGGCGTAGTAGAAGTTATATAAGTAAAATTTTTATATAGTTTAAAAACTCTATATATATAGACCTACCTCTACGCGTTACTTATTAGACTTATAATCTTAGCGTAGAGGTATTCTTTATAATACTATACTACTTTTCTAACTAATATAATAAAAGTAAGTTTAGAAGTATATAATAGTTTTAAACTTTATCTAAGTCTAGGCTAGAATAGAGAAGATATAAGTAAGATTTAGACTTACTATATAAACCTCTAGATTCTATATATAGTCTCTTAAGTTCTAAGTCTTATAATATTCTATTAACACTTAGTATATTCTAACTCTAAGGCTAGTCTATAATAATAAGTTACTACTTTTAGAAATCTAAAGATATATTACTATACTAGTATATTAAATAATTTATAAGTCTTTTTAGTAATTATAAGAATAAAACTAATCTTTTACTAGTTATATTACTTTACTACTTTACTAGAGCTTTACTAAGTTACTTTATTATTATTTAATTACTTTTCTTTAAATTACGTTACTATTACTATTTACTTTTATAGATTCTTTTAAGATTATTATAAAAAATAGTATTATAGTAAATTTTATAACTTTTTTTATTATTTTTATAACTACTACTATTATATACACTATTAAAGTCTACTTTACTAATAATATAGTATTTACTAGAACTATTAATAGTTATTATTTTATAAGTATTTTATAAAAGTATATAAAATAAGCAAATTCTACTATTATTTTTTACTAAAACTTTACTTTTAATAATTTTATTAATAAGATATAGTACTTCTTTTATAATTTAGATCTAGATATTATAAATTACTTAGTAGCTAAAGCTTTATATATTACTAAAATTCTAGGGAATTTTATTAATACGCTAATAATTAAGTACTCTCTACTAAGTATAGACGCTATTTATATATATCTTACTATATATATAATTAAAATAGAGTTAAAGCTATACCTTAGCTATATAATATAGAGTTATATTTACTTATAATAGTATATTTTAAAGAAGATTTTTAAAAAGAGTAATAAGAGATAAAATAATAAAAATAAAGTATTTATAAGTTATCTCTAGTAGATAGATATTATTATATAAATAATAGTAGTATTAGAGTTTTACTAAAGCTATTAAGAGTATAAAAGATTATTATTATATTATAGTTATTAAAGAATAAAAATAGTATTATAGTTATAGTTAATAGCTATAAAATAAATATAGTAAGTTTTATTAGTAGTATATTTATTACTATATATTATATTATTTCTAGTTATTTCTAGTTATAGTATAAACTAGAAAGTTATATAAGTAAGTATAGAGTTAGTTTATAAGCTAGTAATAACCTTATTACTATAGTAATATCTAAATTAATATTAAAATTATTTTAGTAGTTCTAAAAAAGACTAGCTTAGAGTCTTTTAATACCTTTTAATATTTTTTAATATCTTTTTACTATAAAGATAACTCTAAATTAGGCTTAAGGCACTAATTATATTTATTTAGTAAATAGAATTTTATAAAAAAGCTTATAAGTAAGTTAGAAGTAATAAAGAGAAACTATTAAAGGCTTATAAGTAGATTTAATTAATAACCTTAGCCTTAGCTTCGCTTAAAATGTAAGATGCTGGTGATAATTACGATGCTAGATTAAATACCCAACCATGACCGCCCAATGACCGCCCAATCCGTGGTATCTTCCTAGTCCATCTCCGCAGAAAGACAAAAACGCCAAAAGATTCTTTCCCACCCAAGATACCAAATAGCTGATTCACATCTACAAAGCGATGTTATACGATAACATCACTCAAGTCCACATGCCTTCTCCTTCTAGCCACATCTCCTGCTAGAACCCTTCCATCGCTGTCCAGCGCCTCATCATCCACCCAATCCACAACGATCTCATCGCGGATCTCGTCATCGAAACTACCCCTCCTCCCTGTCTTGTCCGCCCAACCCGTGCGTTCAAGCTCGATGATACCGCCGAATCGCCTCTCTCCATTCGCAACGAAAAGAGACTGTCCATCAGGTGTGAACGAAACACCACCCGCGGGGCCGAAGAAATCGAAAGTCTGCTTTGACTCCCACGTCTGCGCGTTGATGATATTGATGAAGTCGTCTGCTTCGGCGGCAACGAGGACGCGGGGTCCGGAGCCGATGGGGGAGAAGTGAAGGGAGCGCGGGACGCTGAGTTCGCTCTTCATGACGGCGAGGGGCTTCTCCCAGTACCGCGCGTCCCAGATGACGATAGTGGAGTCCTGGGCGGCGGTTGCGACGTGGATGCCGTCGTCGGCCCAGGCACAGGCGAATGCGTCGTCGGTGTGTGAGTTCAGTGTTTCGAAGGGTTGGCCTGTTTCGGCGTTCGTGATGAGTGTTTCCTGGAAGTCGCCGACGACGACGCGCATGCGTCCGTTTGGACTGGTGGCGGAGCAGTTGACGGCTGCGGGGTAGAGGAATGAGTGGATGAAGGTGTTGGTGCCGCAGTCGAGCACGCGGAGTCGGTGGTCGTTGGAACAGAGGACGGCTTGTGGGGTGTAGGTTCGCCGTGAGGGGAAGAGGTGCATGTGATTAACTATGCGTGATTTTGTGTCGGTCGCAAAGTCGGTGGTGCGGCCGAACGTGCAGGGCGAGCCGTGGGTTGAGGAGAGGTTGGTGATGGCGTACTCGCCTTCGAAAGCACCGGCGATGAGTACGTCGCCGTGGGAAGCGATAGTGGTGATCGATGCATCGGGAGCCAGGTGTTTGCTCAGGTCAACGACGGCGTCTTCGGATGTGCCTTCAGCGTCTGTGTGGAGAACTTGATGGCCTTTTGCGTAGTAGACGTCATTGCGAGATGTGGCCGTCAGAACATTCCGCAGCTGGAAGTGAGGTACAAAGGCACGGGGGCTGGTATTGATCCTTCGGAACTGGAAGAAGCTGTCTGTGTTGGGTGTTGAATGGACGTGCTGTGATGAGTTAGCCAGTGAACCCCATAAGACATAAAGAAGCTCGTTTGTCCCCCAAGAATACCACACCCTGGAGGGATGTACGTGTTCTCCATCATTCGGTCCTGTAGAACACAGTAATCTCTTCAGGGTGTGGAGTAGCTGGAGCAAGAAAACACTTCTTCGTACTATGCATACCTTGCGAACCTGCTTCACACTATGAGACACCCGCTGACGCTCATGTTGCGACCTTGCTCTCCGTACCGAAGCCCTAGTAGTCTTCCGGGCGGTCCAATCTATTCCCTGGTAATCGTACTCATCACCCTTGAGATCTTCTCGGGTAATGAAATCTGGCAGCTGGATGAGATCCAGACCAGGCACAACACCGGGCTTCCACTGCCCGTAGAAGCGGTGGAAGTAGGACGTAATGGGGCAAAAGGCCGCCCGGTCCTGTATACTCAGGTGCGGTTCGTTGAGTGTTGGCGGTGGCTCAAGTAATAGGTCAGTACCGTATGGCAGGTTGCCTGCTATGGTGACCGGCGCAATGAAGTGTGTAGTGGATGTGTGGTGCTGAGGTATGCTGGAGCCTGCAAACATGTCGAAAGCGTTGTATGTGACATAGGATGGATGGACTGGCCCGAAGCCAAACATGTCTTCTATCGTGCCTCCCTCATCCAGCGAGGGGTCCCCATCGTCGCTGTTTGCTCCTGCCTGATGCGACTCGGGCATGGCTTCCATGAAATGCTGGTAGTCCTCTAGCGATATCCCCCCACCATCGTCATCGTCGTCGCCGTCGTCCTCGTCGTCATCGGGCGGTCTGTTGTCGGAGAGGGTCGCTAGCGTCACAGCAGCAGCCAGTGCGCTGGGTGAGTGCGGCCAGTCTCCAGCGGACGGGTGGGCGTGCGGCGGCGTTGTGGGATGTGTGGTGGAGTGTGGCGCGGGCCAGTTGTGCATGCTGGCCATCGACGCCCGCTATCCGCCTGATAGCCAGTGCAGCGGGGCCGCCGAGGCAGGTTCTTGGGGCAGTTGGGTCTGCGACGAAATGGTCGGCTGGTGTAGTTGTAGAGAGGCGTTGGGGCGCAAGGTATAGGCTTGTCTGGCGTGGGGGAGGCGACTAGGCCGAAGCATAGGCTCAGGCAGAATGCAGCAGTCAAGTCCAGGGCCCAGGGGCTGACTGGCTAGGCTCTTCGCTTCGCAGGCTGACTGGGTCGCGTTCGGCGCTCGACCTGGCTATCCAGGCGCTGCATGCGACAGAGGTACGTCCAGGCTAATTGTGGGGTTGCTTCTGGCAAGTCACAGTCGGGTATTGGCTGCGGGAGAGTTGGGCTGGGCTGCAGGGCAGGGCTGGGTGACGGTCATGAATATGGCTATGCGCGTCGGGACGGCTTCTGAAGCTCCAATGCCGTCAGATATATATGCCACGCTCCACGTCGTCGAATATGCCCATCGAGCCCTCCTCCGCGGGCCCTCTAGTCTGAACACGGGGGGATCGGACAGCCCACCCCCCAAGCCTGACTAGCGACTCCACCATCTCTCAGATCTCCAGACGTTAGATCTGTGTATTCACGCTGCTCGACTCCACGCTGTCACCAGGCGCTCAGGGTTAAGCGGCTGCGGCGTGTCCACGCACCGTGATACAACTCACATGGCACTGCCAACACGACAACCTTCTGGAGCCAAGGCCCGGCGACGAGAATGCAGTGGCCACCCACCATTACACACCCACGTCCACATCTGCTCTTGTCAGGCCTCTTTTGGGACACAGACAGCACACCAGCTTCGCTAAGCGCATCTTCTGGGTGACGTGCTGAGCGCCGGCCCACGGTTGCACGGCTATTTCGTGGAGCAAATCAGACGCCTGTTCCCACCGCGCCTCCCCAGACTGTGGCTCGAACGCCGTTTTTGTCTCCCCTTGCCGTTCTGCCTGTGGACAACGGTGCTGGCACTCCACGACAGCACGCCACAGATCGCTCCAGCGAAACTCGAACCACCCTGCGGGGGCGCTGGGCGCACAGGGCGGATCTTGAGACTGCAAAACAGCACAGGAACACTGATGCGAGGTCATTCATCAAAGTGGTATTTCAGCATCGGTATGCCGTGTCTCGCGAGAGCTGACGACATGCCGTAAGAATGTATTACTAGTGCGAGGTGCCTACGTGACCCCGACGGCGAAGTGGAAATGCCACCATCTCATAAACCATGACAGAAATTGCCTGCTAAAACGAACACCCCAGGAATGCAGCAAATCATGTAGTACATATGCAGTCCGCTCCTACGCGACGCCTCATTGCGAAATCAATTATCATAGTACTGATCGTATCCCTGCTGCTGTTGCTGCGGTGGCCATCCGCCAGCCGATGTCGCCGCTGGTGTCTTGAGTCTTCGTTCTGTTGGTGCCCAACGTCAGTGACTGCATTATCGCGAGAAGTTGTGTTCCTTACCTGCTTCAAAGTCATGCCACCTGCGCATCGTGATCTTGCTGCTGTCGAACTCTCCTTCATACTCCAGTCCTGCCTTCTTCGTCTTCTCGCCCGCCGTCTTTCGAGTATCTCCCCAGCTGAAGTCGTCAAACTTCCAGAAGGCATACGTCGGAAGCACAAAATTCCAAACAGGCAGTGACAGCAGATAGACGAACATCCAGGCGACGTAAGACCATCGATGAGCCGTTACGATGATAAGAACCGCGGGTAAACCAAGAATGAGCGCTAGCAGGATGAGGGGTATGACAGGAGCTTCGGTGTGGAGGATGGCGGCTTTGATAGCGATAGCGACTGGACGTGGTCAGCAAAGCCAGAATCTCAAGATGGGGTACGGGGGCTTACTTAGGTAGAAGGTAAAGGCAATGGCGGCCGGGAGGACCAGGGTTCCGATCAACTCGATGAACACAACAAACTGCATGCTGAAGCAGAAGGTGCCACACAGATCTCGCACTAGCACAAGCTCCATCAGGTTGTGGACCGTACTATTAATCCATCGTCTGCGCTGTGACAGCAAGACTTTGAACTCGTCCGGTACAGTGGTTTTGCAAACGGCTTGCGGCACAAAAACCTGTTTCCGCTTGGGGAACGTCTTGAGCATAAGCGTCGACAGATAACGATCTTCACCTAGTAGTAGCAGATTCTTCTTGTGCAACGTATCGACCACGTTCTCCGAATAGTGCTCGACGACGTCAGGGTTAGCCAGGATCGGGACCCAGTAGTTCTGACCGCCCTTGGGAGCCTTGATGCGGTACATGCAGAAACAACCGGGCAAGCAAGTGACACCACCAAAGACCGACTCGAATGACTTTGCCAAGTGGTGGGAGATGAAGTATCTAGTATGATTAGTGGCGCGATTGTCAGACACGGCAAATGCACTTACTCAAACACCTGGATCATGGAGACCCACGAATCCCGCTTATTGGCAATCTTTGTTTCGCCGCAGAGCCCCATGATATCTGGATCCTTTACCATGGCTGAGATCATGTGCGTCAAGCTGTCAGGGAAGACCTTTGTGTCGGCGTCCACCATGAGGACTATCTCATAGAAATCAGGCGATATGCCAGTAATCTTCCAGATACCGTTGAACATCTCAAACTCAAGCTCCGTCATACGCTCGTCAAACATGACCTTTTGCAGGAACGACATGAGGATGATCTGACTGTCTCGCTTTCCACGATTGCCAGGCTTGGACTTCTTGGCCTCATCAGGTGTACCACACTTTACCACTAGCATCACCGGAACACGTTGCTGCTTCTCGACGGGAATGCGCGTCGTCTCGCCATAGTCATAGAAACCCGAGTAGATCTTGGCCATGTTGTGTCGTTTCGAGCCACTGGCGACTGCGACGTACGAGTGCGCTTGAACCTCGTGGGGCAATACCGCGTGATCCCTCATCATACCAAGACAGACTTCGGGCGTTGTCAAGTCTTCACCGTGACCCTTGATCATACCGTCGCAAATGATGAGAATCAACTTGTGACTGTTGGGGTAGTCGGTGGTAGCAATGGAGTCGAGTGTAGTTCGCAGACCTTCGGGACCTTCAGAGTAGGCGGTGACAAGACAGATGGTATGAGCCAATGGGTATCCGAAAGGCTGCCACTCTGGAGGAGGCTGAGGCACGACTGCTTCGTGTGTGAAACCTGCGGGCCCGGAACCTTCGACGCTAGAGTAACGGTTGGTATCGGTGTTACCGGAAAGGAGTAGGCTAGATCGAGATTCCTGTGCCGTAAATACCGCATTGTGTTTTCCATCCATGGGCATAGTGCCCTGGCTGGCGTTGAGTTGCTTGTACATGCCACCGTTCGATCCGAGGACACGAGATGCTGTGCTCTGGCTAGTCATAGTTGTGGGCGGGGCACGGGTCTTTGCGTTCTTGTCAACCGAGTAGGGGCTGGTGAACCTCGAAGTTTGTGGCAAGAAGGTACTGCCACGCTTGTTGCTGCGGTCAGAGCCGGACGATGGATCCATGAGCTTTGGCGGTGGGCGGTAGATGTCATCACTCCATTCCTCGATCTGCTGCTTTCGCTGCTTGGAATCGGCGGGGCCAATAGATGTCTTGGTAGCAGCAAACTTCTTGCTGATGAACCACTGGAAGATCAAAGCGAGGACGAACTTGGCCATGACAACAGCCAGGATGAAAACGAGCGAGACGTAAAGGACAACCTTGGAAGCAATGCAGCCAATGCTCTCTGTGTCGATGGAGCCAACTTTGATAGTCTCGGTGAAGCAACGGGCTACCTGCTTCTCGTAGCTGGACGAGTACGCACGGGTAACATCGACACCGCGAACAGCGGGGTTTTGGCGGATTTCATCGAATAGAGGTGGGATGTTGACCTGGGTTCGGTTGAACCAGTCGAGCAAGTTTAGGTCAAGCACATCACCACCCCAGACCATCAGATTCCTGGAGCTGTTGCGGATGTCCTCCCAGGTGTAGTAAACATCACCAGCATTGTGGAGGCTGTAGAAGCCCCTGCGAGCTTTGTCCGAGGTGTGGCAGAGGTAACCGTTGTACTCCAAGAAGGTGGTGTTGGGCTTGGTCGATCCATCTTGGTTGAACAGTCGGCACGGGAAATACCAGCCAAGGTCTCCGTTGCCGGTTGTGGGGATTCCAGAGTTCTCCTTTTCAGTGATGAGACCCTTGCAGGCTCCGTTGACGTTTTGGAACAAGAAGCTGGCATCCTGACCGCCGTGTTTCTCAGGAAGATCGAACAGGACGTTTGCGTCTTCGGGAACGCCACGGGCTCTGGGGTGCTTGGACTGGGCGAGATCATAGGCTTTGCCGTGAATGATGAGGTATCCACCGCCGACTTCGTTCGTCCTGAGACGAGCGTTGCCGCCAGAGGGGCAGACGGTTTCCGTAAAACCGAATGTAAGGTATCCAACGAACGTGCAGATGAGCATGATGATGCTGACGAGTCCGACCTTCTCTCTCCAGGCTCGCTGCTGCGCCTTCTGCGGCTTTCCAAAGCACTTCAGGATAGCGTTCGGGCACCAGAAGGTGACGATGGCGCAGTAGACGTTCCACAGACTAGGTGGGCGTAGCTTGTCCTGCTCCTTCTGGCGCTGCTTCTCGCGCGCCTTCATTGTCTCGCTCCGTGTCAACTTGCGTTGTATCCGCGGCTCTCCGTCGTCCATGGGAGCCTGCTTGTCATTGTAGCCCCCGCCTGAGGCATTTCGCAGGTGTGGGGGCTTGACATCGGTACTGTCTGAGCTGACCGTTTCAGCTTCCAGATGGTCTTCGAGGATAGGGTCGTTGCCGGTCGTCGAGGGGTGGACGTCCATGCGCTGGGCGTGTTTGCGGTAGTGATAGTTCGGGTGGCTTGGGTCGTTTCGCTGGCGCTCGGGGCGGATGAGGCTGCGCTTCCTTCCCAATTCAGGCCCAGTGGAATTGGTTTGGCCTCGCATTATAGGATCACGCTCCATGGGCACGGGGGTGCCGGGTGAAGGAAGCGCGCGGGCATAGGATTGGGTGCCGCTCTTGCTGTTGGAGCGGTCGTGCGATCGCGTGTTCTCCAGGTCGGACGTCCTTCTCCTGCGATGGTGCGAGTCGCGGTGTGCATGGCGCCGCTCGCCCCGTCGTGGCGGCGACGACTCTTCGGGTCGCTGTGGTAGCGACATTTGCGTGAAGATGCGAGCTCAGCTGTTGTTACACAGTGGGGCTGCAGCGCGGAACCCTTTTCGGCCCGGGAAGAATACGTATGGCGGCTCTATGAGGTTGCTGATCGCATGAATGGGACGATGCGTGTCTGGGGTGGTCGAGGTCGTGGAAAGGCGGTGGGTCGTAATTTCCGTTTTCAACGAGTGATGGCTGGCTACGGCAGGAGCGAGTGCGGTGCCGGAATAACCAGTGTGTGCAGTGTGCTGTATTGTAGTGAAAGACGGTCCTAACGAGCGACGAGGAAAACCGACGAGACCCCGGGCGATACAATAGGTGTTGCTAGAGCGATGGCTGATGGGGGCGAAGTTGGCCAGGGGGGTGCTATTTTGGGGCTTTCGTTCCGCCACTAGCACAAGGCCATCGCTAGAGCATACATAAACACGGGAACTCTTCTGACTTCGTGATGATCAGAGACTACAGCTGTCGAGGCATGCGTTTTCCAGTGTCTGCCTCGGCGATACTCTGCAGTAGTACTACATGATCTCTCCATCCTCATGCCTCTCCCCACAGATGTCGCTGTCACACCACAGAGCCCTCAGGCTGTACCTAGGGACGCTGCTACATGAGCGGACCCCTGCATGCACCAAATCCTGCAGCCCACGGAGCCAAACGGTTACCCTGGATCGACGTACTATCAATTTCCCTATCACTAACCTCACCTCTCCTTTTCAACATCCCCAAACATTAACTCGAAACGCGCCCTTTCTCGCAACGTACCCGGCGGTCTTCATGTAAGGGATGTTCAGCTTCTCAGCCCACCGGTCCATTATTTCTATTGACGCCAAGGGCGGTCGCCACTACCACTACCGCATGTCAACACCGCGCGCGTGCAGTGCACAGGCTGCCTGAAATAAAAAGGACTGTGCCCCATCCTTCTCCTCATGTACGAGTGGACCTGCGCTGAGCTTTGGCAGTGCATTTCCACTTGACGCCTTGTGCTTTGTGTCAAGCTGAATGACTGAACGCGTGGAGTCAGGGTCTATTCACATAGGCGCAGCTCCACACTCTTCCATGTCTCCATCCTGAGCCCTGCAGGGCGGCAGCTCCACCCGCGCGGACTGCCATGGACGGCTCATTACCTAGCTAGCATTTGTCACATGTATAGGAATCGATAGTCGATGGCGGAGCTTCGGAGGCAGCGGTGGCTTGGATAAGTAGTCTCTAGGTACTGTCAAGCCTCAACATGTCTGCCCGACCACCTGAGCAAACTCTGCGGTTCACGTTTGGACAGTGACCAGATGGTTGATGACGCCACCTTCCTAATACTCACTGCGTACGTGTCTCAAACAGCGCCCAGCCCTGGGGCCAGTAGTCAAATATCGACGCATGCCCATGTACTTGCAGAAGCTCCTCCACATTTGTCAATATTCCCCGTGAGCCGCCATCGATTACTTGCGCCCCTTTCGGTTCTTGCCGAATAGATCGATAGTGCTCGTGTTTCAACTGTAGTCACACACCCTTTCGCTTCCTCAGCGAGCCGGCCTCTGCCGCCCAGTCCACTATTCGCCATTCTATACGAGGGTCTGCCTGCATCGGGTGGGGTTTCAAAAAGCGTCTACCTCCCACTTGCCTTGCCTGCTACGTAGAACTGTTGGCGCGAAAGTTGCAGGTTGCAAGTTGACCCAGAAGACTACCTGTTCGCGTTCTGTTCAGGGTCCAAGTGCCGAAGCTGCGAACCCTCCACTCCGCTTCCTGTAAGTCTAATCCTTTTCTGTACCGTAGATCATCATCCCAGGGTGCGCATCCTGAGGCCGAGGTTGGCGAACAGTATCCCAGCCCGTCGTCACACCGCAATTCAAGTTCTAACAGTGAATTGTGCGAGTAGAGAGGATCCACACGGCAGACGGTCTCTTATCGCATGCGCGGATTTCTTTGTCGCTAGGACTGCACCACCATCTTAGAGCCCCGCCGTTCCAGCGAGTCAGGACTTAGGCGGACATAAGACTGCAACCAGAGGTCTAACGAAGGGGGATTCGCCTTTTTCTAGCCATGTCCCAGGTCGCTTCGACACCACCATCCAGGGCATTGCCACCCATTCCAGCCGACCAAGAAGCCTACAGCGCGCATCGTCCCGCCTCGAACGGCCCAAGTGGTTTCCAGCAGCGCAAACCCCCCGCCGCGCGCCACTCCTCAACGCCCTCTTTCAGCATCACCGAGCACCACGACACAGCAGGCGGACGCGACTCGAGACAGTCCGGCTCTTCTTTCAACCAAAGCTCCGACGGCCACTCGAGAACGCCCTCGCGAGAAACTCCAGACATTGAGCACAGATTCTCGGGGAGCTCGATTCCACCCGCACAGGACATTCCCTTCAAGCGACTGCATATTAGCGACGGATCGTACGGGAGCCGATTCTCGCACGTTGCAGAGATGGACGTCGCAAATGCACACGACGAGGCGGACCATATATACACTCCCCAAGAGCAATACCGGCCCGTATCCTACCCGAGCCAACCAACCCCGCCGGCTGCAACATATCCTCCCCGCGAGACCGCACAATCGCCGAATGGCGGCTCCCAGCACTCGTCGAATAATAGCGGGCGCAACAGCTACTTTAACAGCCATGCGCAGGAGGGCGAGCTGCAAGTCCCGCGCAGCACGGTTCCAAGACCCAACTCTGCATACACACTCGGCTCAGAGCTGAACATGCGAGGTCGCACAGAATCCCCGCGCCTCTCTGTGGTTGGAACCCCATCACCTAGCGGATCACCAAACCCTTACGCCCGCCCCGTATCAACGAGCCGCCGCTCCCCCGACTTTAGACCGGAGTCGTCTTACATCGATCTGACCAATCTCCCGTACAACCAGCAAATCGCTCCTGCGACAAACTTTGGCAATGCAGGTCTACGGGGCGTTGTGGGGCAGAATGCCTCCCTACTCGACGAGAAGAAGACGCTGGAAATGTACCGGGCAAACGTCAAGAAGACACAGGATACTGCCGTGCAATACGAGTTTGCGCTGTTCATGATACAAGTGGCCCGCGAGGTTCTGGCGACAGAGAATAGCGGTGTCGATCACGGCATGAACCCCACAGAGTTGCTGAAGGAAGCACGACAGATTCTCCAAAGGTTAGCCGACCGCAGCTATCCTTTCGCGCAGTACTACCTCGCCGATGGGTACGCGTCCGGTCTATTCAACAAGGACAAGCCGGACCACGATCGTGCATTTCCCCTCTTTGTAGCTGCTAGCAAACACGGCCATGCTGAATCAGGGTTCCGTGCCGCACTTTGCTACGAGTTTGGCTGGGGCTGCCGCAAGGACTACGCTAAGGCGGTTCAGTTTTACCGTGCTGCTGCGTCCAAGAATCATCCTGGAGCTGCGACACGACTCGGAAAGGCTTGTTTGACAGGCGATATGGGTCTCCAGAACAAGTACAGGGAAGGATTGAAGTGGCTGAAGCGAGCCACCGAGTCGGCCGACTTCCAGTACAACATTGCGCCTTATGAGCTTGGTCTGCTGCACGAGACGGGCTTCGGAGACGACATTTTCAAGGACGAAGTGTACGCGGTGCAGCTGTTTACCCAGTCTGCCGAACTGGGTCACCCATTGGCCGCTTTGAAGCTGGGAGAAGCCTACGAACATGGCCTATTGCGCTGCCCTAAGGATGCTGCGCTTTCCGTTCACTACTACAACTGCGCTGCTCAGGCCGATATCCCAGAGGCCATGATGAACCTCTGCGCCTGGTACATGGTCGGTGCCGAACCTGTTCTGGAAAAGGACGAGAATGAGGCGTACGAATGGGCCAAGAAAGCTGCAGAGCATGGTAAGTTTGTCGATAACAGCGCGAAGTACAGCCCACTAATCCCATCAGGTCTTCCAAAAGCCGAGTATGCCTGTGGATACTTTACAGAAATGGGCATTGGCTGCCGGAGAGATCCTCTAGAAGCAAACGTCTGGTACGTCAAAGCTGCTGATTCCGGCGACGAGCGGGCAAAGCAGCGCCTCGCCATCATCCAAGCTGCGGCATCCGGGCAGTCGCACGTCCCAGCAAGCAACAACGCCACCGAGAAGGGAAAGCTCAAGAAAGAGAAGGGCAGCAAAGAGAAGGATGGTAAAGAGAAGGACGAAAACTGTGTGGTAATGTAGAATTGGGCGTGTTGTACTGGCCCTTTGCGATTTCTTTTATACCCTACTCGCGTTTGTTGTTTTTGCTTCCCGCATGTGCTCACGTTGGTCATTCCAACCATTCCACGTAAGCGTTGCGATAATCTTTCTAATATGGGGTTGTGCATATACGGCGTTTGTGGTGCATTGTCCTTTGCATACCGCCGCTTGGGACTGAGCGTCGAGGTCTTGTCAGCATACCTGGTGGAGGCAGGTCGACACTATTGCATCGTTTCGTCATGTCATAGCATGTCTGATGGAGTTACATCTCGTAAAAGCTGAGGTGGATAAAGTGGGTAATTGCATGATGCATTGTAATGACTTTCCATAGCCCAGAGCTCGACTCAACTCAATCATAGACACAGACGACTACAAGCAGGTTGTTCCTGTTCAAGACTTTCTGTTCAGCATTTTGCAATGTATTGCTATCGCAAGTTCATAGCCCTCGTTTCGACTAACAGTGAGTATTCCCTGGATACGATATTAGCTGGCACAGACTGCAGCCAAAGGCAGCTGATTCCAACATCAGATGTCAGTTCAGCACGGGTTTCGACGGCTTTGTTGCTCCGAACGCGTCTCGTGACAGCGCGGTTGCCATAAAAGCGCCGATTGGCCAATGTCTTGCAGCATCTTACGTAGCTTTACCTCACAACTATCCGTTCTTGTCCGGCCCTTGCGGTACTCTGGATATGCGGATTCCACGGTACGTGTTCGTAATACATACGTATTGACTCAATCACGCAGGAATGCGCATCGCAGTGAATGTACATGCAAAGGGCGCGTGGTTCACGCTATACAGGTGTCTGCATGGCCTTGGCAGGTGTTCCTGGTGGACTCGCTTGCTGCGCTTCCCCAGACCGTGGCTAGCCGCTACCCGAATGGGTAGGCATGATGCACGTTGGCGGCTGAGGGATCCACCTGCACGCCTTAGACTGACTACATGTGTAGGGCGTGCGATAACCGATAGCTGATAGCTGATCCTGATCAAGTGAGGTTTAAAGGCTTGGACTCTCAAACATCCAAACTCTCTTCAATCCACCCGTGGACTCATCCACAGATTGTCATCACTGTCTACGTTGCGTCGAAAGTTAAGTCAGGAGAACAAAGGGAAAATTGGAGACAAAGTACAAAGAAGTTACGAGGTTGAACCGTAGACCAAGATGTCACCACCTTCAGCAGTCGAAGTCTCCGCGGTTTCGGATACGTCTGGAGTTACTATCCCAAACCCGTTGAGCGCGCCGGTTCTGAGCAACGAGATTCTTGGAAGAAGAAAGAAGACGACTGCGGCTCAATGGGGCGTGGCAGCGCCATCGGACACGGCAAACTTCAGACTCAAGTCTCACGATCATAAGCCCAAAGCTAAGCGATGGAGTCGTACGTTCATACCGTTTTCACTCAGCATTTTCTCGACATGGACTACATGGCTGACCTATACAAATAGATATCATGACCAAGGAAGCCACGATTCGGAAAGGCAACTCTCTCAAAGAAGCAGCGAAATATCTTGGCACACCCGGCATCATATCCCTCGGTGGCGGTTTACCATCTAGCGAGTACTTCCCCTTTGAAGAGCTATCGATCAAGGTCCCCAAGATTGGTCATTTCTCGGAAGCCGAGACTAGAGAGTCTGGTGTCACCATCACCGCAGGCAAACATGACCTCGCGGAGAACAAATCCAACTTCGACATCGCTACTGCGTTCAACTATGGCCAGGGATCTGGCTCAGCACAACTTCTCCGCTTCATGACTGAGCACACTGAACTGATACACGACCCGCCCTACCAAGACTGGAAGTGCACCATGACCATCGGAAGCACATCCGCCACCGACATGTGTCTGAGGATGTTCACCCGGCCAGGCGATATGATCCTATCCGAAGAATACACCTTCTCCGCCTTTGTTGAGACCGCCCGACCAATGGGCGTGCGCGTCTGTGGCGTCCCCATCGACAACGAAGGTCTCCTACCCGACGAGATGGACTCTCTTCTCACAAACTGGGATCAAACAGCTCGCGGCGCACGAAAACCCCATATCCTCTATACTGTCCCAACAGGTCAGAATCCGACAGGAGCAACGCAGAGCGCGGAGCGCCGGCACGCACTCTACAAAGTCTGCCAAAAGCACGACATCCACATCCTAGAAGACGAACCCTACTACTTCCTCCAAATGCAACCCTACACCGGCGCCAACGCGCCTTCCATCCCGCCACCAGCATCCCACGCCGACTTCATCAAATCTCTCGTGCCCAGCTACCTCTCCATCGACACAGACGGGCGGGTAATCCGCTTCGATTCCTTTTCCAAAGTAATCGCGCCCGGATCGCGAATCGGCTGGATTACCGCACCCGCCGAAGTCGTAGAACGGTATTCCAAACACGCAGATGTATCTACTCAGAACCCTGCCGGAATGTCCCAACTCATCTTATTCAAATTGCTAGATGAACACTGGGGCCATGCGGGCTATCTCGACTGGCTCATCCACATGCGTATGCAATACACACACCGCCGCGATATCATCCTAGCCGCGTGCTCGAAATACCTCCCTACTGAAGTCATGAGCTGGAAACCTCCTATGGCGGGTATGTTCCACTGGATGCAGGTCGACTTTCGGAAACATCCTAGTTACCCTGCGAAGAGCATTGAGAGTATTGAAGAGGGTATCTTTATGCGCGTTATTGAACATGGGGCGCTGGTTATGAGGGGTAGTTGGTTCTATGCAGATGCGGAGGAAGAGCACAATACACTGTTCTTCAGGGCGACGTATGCGGCGGCGCCGGGGGAGAAGATCGAGGAGGGGATTAGGAGGCTGGGGGAGGCGGTTAGGGAGGAATTTGGGTTGGGGGATTATGCTAAGGATAAATGAGAGGTGGAGTGGGTGGTGAAATAGATTGAGTGTTGGAATGATCGCTTGTGGTCTTGCTCTTGTATTGATGGGGCAGTCGTTTTGTGATATAGCGGGACATTCCTTGCTGTATATATCCTACCACCAAATGCAGGGCTATCCATGCCTCATCTGGTCCATCTTATTCTTACACATGTCCAATTCCTAGACCTCTCTTTTGTAGTATTGTCAACCTATCGCACAGATGTTACTCCACCTGGTGTCCTCCTCTGTTGTATTCCTTTCCCCTGGTTTGTTCTTCGACGCCGCAAATCTGCCGCTCAGTTGATGAAGTTGACGCAGAAGAAGTGCAGCAATAAACTGCCAAAGATGAAATCCGCAAACGCCCGCTCATGCGAGATATTCTCAAAGTGCACCTTGTTCTCCGAGTTTGTCTGGATGCGCAGCGAGGCTGTGAGGACGAATTGGCCGACGGTTGCGCTGAAGCCGGAGAGGAAGGCGTTGAAAGGCTGTGTTTCCATGTACGTTAGCGAGTAATTCGTATAACATTTTTTTCGCTCTCATCAAACTCCAGATCTAGGAATTGTGGAAATTGGACATGTGATGGGAGAATCGAGGACGTACAAAGTTTCCAACCAAGACCACGTAGAGGAATTGCAGAGCACCGACGATAACGAGGAACGCGAGGAAGGTATCGAGCAGCTTGGTTCGCTGGGGTGTCTTGTCGACGTATTTGTTCCATATTCCTTGCGCAATGGCGGCGGCGTCTGTGTTGTTTGCTTTGCTTGACCGAGCGGGTGCTGATGGGGTAGCTGTTGTAGTTGTGGTTGTAGCTGGGGCGCCGGTTGGGGCGGTGGTGCGCTGTTTCGGTGCCATTTTCGTGACGTCTCGAGGATGTGTGTCGAGACTTTTGGTGTTGGAAGTGGAATTGGGAGAAGACGCGCAGTAGTGATGCTGTCGCTGCTGCTGCTGGATAGCTTGAGGCCAGATGTTCGTAGATGGTCCGAGCTCTGGGGTACGACGACCGACCGCGTCGGCGGTTCGGTGTCCTTCGGGTGTCCGTTTGGATCCCCGCAAATCATGGCATGGACTTGGCCCAGCCTTCCTTCCCTCTCAGCATTCTACGAGAAACTTCTACATCCTCAGTTATTTCTTCCGGACCTCACGTATTCACGCGACTGCCCCGATTTCATTTCACGAATCACACGACAAGATAACAGAACACGACGCGATAATGGTACGTGATCACCAATTACTGTCACGCGCGAGTCATGGTGTGCAATGGATGCTAATTGGAGGTCAGGGCTCTCTCGGAAACATCGCTCTCATCCTGGGCGCTCTCACTGCTGGTGGCGGTATCACTGGCTATGTGAGGACTGGATCTATCCCATCGGTCGTCGCTGGATGCACTGTCGGACTTCTGGTATGACCTCACATCACATGCATCACCACCTTGCGCGCATCTAACGAACGATAGTACATGCTCGGTGGCTACCGTGTTAACAGCCGCGCAGCGTACGGCGTTGAGTTGGCTCTTCTTGCTTCCGTTATCCTCGCTGGCAGCTCTATTCCTCGAGCAATGAAGTCTGGCAAGCCGCTGCCTATTGGTTTGAGCATTCTCGCGACCTTTGGCCTGTGGACTTTTGGAAACGCGTACATGAACAAGGCTCGTGTATAAGCACTACCAGAAAGATGATACGAAAAGCAGGCAGCGCGTCGTGCGATGAAAAGTGTACCATAACTTACGATGTTGAAATACGAAGCTTGACTGGATGAGAAAACGGATCCTACTGCGAGAATACTTCCTCTCGAGTTACTAATCGACGTGTCGATCCACAAGCTAGATGCTAAGTCAGGGTAGCTGATTATCTCAACGTCTAGATATCTCAACGTTCTAACAGGCTCCCCACACGTTTGAGTTCGCTAATGATCCCGGGCTATTTGGAAGAATGCAACACCATCCACACAATACCGACGAGGCAACAATAGAAGCTCCCCACCAATCTATATCCCGGCTCTGCATCGCGTGCCAACTGCCGTCGCTTATCCAGGGTCTTGCAAGTCTTAGCGTCATTCAGTAACACTGCATGGGCGAGTACTGGATATCGCGAGTATTGTTCCGGGTCACAATGCGGTTCCAGCTCATCAAAATTGATAGAACCAAGTTTGATTGACCAATCATACCATGTCAACACCTGACTCTGACTATCAACCTGCCATTTCCATCAGTGTACTCAGGCTGAAACCTATCCGCGAGGCAGGAGCTACAAAGCGATCATCCTGGTGTACGCAGTCCGTCACATATCGTAATCCCGAGTACAGTGATTGGTGGTTCGATATGACCTCCCAAAGCCTTTCTCCAACATTTTCATCTAAGACATACCAGAGGAATGAAAGCAAATTACAGATTGACGAGATCGAATCATGTCCCCGCATGGCTCGTGGCTCGCTCTGTGGCCACGATAAATGTTGGAGTTGGCCGCATAAAGAGTTGGGAAGAGCCTACTGGGTGACAGTCAAGAACGTATAGCTACGCCCATCTATCCACAGATCCCGCCACTATGCGCTACACCCAGCTTATTGGCAGTGCTGCGGCACTTGCTGGTTATGGTAAGTTCAATGTCTGCCTTAGCCGTTGATACTGACAGAACGAAGCTTTTGCTCAAGAAGGTGAGGCACAGTCTACTGTTGTCTACGATGCAGAAACGAAGATCAGTTACTCGTTGTACACGGAGCCTGAAACAGGGATGACGTTTGGTGTTGCTCTTCCGAAGAACGTTACAGACCCGTATGATGCCATCGTCAGGATCACGGCGCCAATTGCCAATCAATGGGTCGGCTTCTCATGGGGTGGCAATATGGTCTGGAATCCATTGAGCGTTGCTTGGCCTAACGGTCAATCCGGGACGATATCTGCTCGCTTCGCTTTGTATGATGCATACCCAGGTTGACGATGACGATTCTAACATCCCACAGTGGTATTGCTTTACCGCTTGGATACGATGGCGCCGAGCACAGCTACCTCAAAGGCACAAAGACGAACGCTACACATTGGACTGTCAATGCACTGTGCAAAGGCTGCACGGGATGGCAAAACAACGAAGATGAAAGATACGCATTGAATGGCACCGGTACAACACAATTTGCCTGGGCCTACGGCGTCTCTTCGGTCGAGGACCCTGCCAGAAATGATTCTGCATTCAACGTCCACGCGGCCTGGGGAAAATGGATCCACAATCTGGACGCTGCACGCATCGAGAATTTTGATTCTTTGGTCAATGCTAACCTGCTGACGGCACCCATAGCAAGTCCTTCCGCTGACCCGACCACCGTCGTGACAAGCGTCGTACCGTCTGCAACGTCAAAGCCAGCCGCGCCTGCTGCCATTCCAGCCTCGTGCTCCGGTGCCGGTAATCCCACATTCCAGGGAAGTCTTGCTTCTGGATGGAAGGCCACAAAAGTCGCCGGAGGCTTGACTGCCCCTCGTAGCATTCAATTCGACGGGGCAGGTAACATGTTGGTAGTCCAGTCTGGCAAAGGTATCTCGTACCATAAGATGGGTACAGATGGCTGTGTTACCTCTACCAAGATGCTGGTCTCGCAGAACAATCTGAACCACGGCATTGCAATGAGTCCTGACGGAAAGACGCTATACGCCAGTTCCATGACTCAAGCTTACTCCTGGCCATATGACGCTGCTGCTGGGACACTGGGAACGCGAACAACCATCATTACTGGCATGTACAACGGTGGCTCCCATTTGACCCGCACTCTTGCTCTCGCACCACAAAACCCAAATCTGCTGGTTGTCTCCCATGGCTCCAATGCCAACATTGACGCTGCTACATCGGATCCCAAGACTGCGCGTGCCATTATCAAGGTCTTCGATCTGTCAAAGATTCCAAGCGGAGGCTACAACTACGTGTCCGGAGGATACAACGCTGGCTACGGTCAACGTAACGACGTGGGAATCTGTTTCGACAAGAACAACATGTAAGCCTCACTTGTATGAGCGCGCGTGATGATACTGACAATGCTACAGGCTCTGGGGCGTAGAGAACAGCGGCGACGACTTCAAGCGCAACGGCAAAGACATCCACTTCAACAATCCTGGCGAGAAGATCCATTACATGGGAGACGTGACCAAGCCCAACAACAACTGGTACGGCTACCCGTCCTGTTTCACCGTCTGGCAGCCCAGCGACTTCACCGACAAGGCCTTCAAAGTAGGCGATTGGTTTGTCCAACAGCCCAGCACCAACATGAACGACGACACGTGCGTCCAGACAGCCACAGCTCCCAAGCTTACGCTGTTCCCTCACTCCGCACCCATCGACTGCAAATTCGACGCCGACAGCACAACCATGTACGTTACCTACCACGGTAGTTGGAACCGCACACCCGTCACCGGATTCAAGCTCGTCGCTGTGAAGTTCAAGATTGGTGCGGACGGCAACTACACTCCGGTTGAGCCTCTTACTAGTACCACAGCGGCTCAGGACATCTTCTATAACCCGGCTGTAGAGAAGTGCCAGGGTAATGGACCCAGTTTCAGCTCAGGGTGCTTTAGGCCTGCGGGCTTGGCGTGGGATTCGCAGGGGAGATTGTTCATGACGAGTGATACATCAAGCAATGGGGAGGTTTGGGTGCTGGGTAAGTCGTAGAGGATGGGGTGGCACTCCCAAAGCGCCAGGCTAGAGAGTCAATGAGGAGGAGACAACATGTATATACAGTTGGTGCAGTCACACAGTCGTTTCTAGGTCGCCATTTTCACGCAATGGGAGGTACCGGTTTACTCGCTCCTTGCGACCAAGGTGCAACGTTCTAGATTTGCTTCAATCCCGTCGTCCTTCAACACATCGTCAGCGTCCCACGAACTCGAAATACGCGAACCATAGGTATACAATGACTCACCCAAAGTGTCAATCGCAAGCGAACTCATGAGGTAGCTACTAGCTCGTTTTCTTGGGTGTCGCGCAACCATGGTTCGCGTACCGGGCACGTGGCAGGCATTTATGGCGTTATATAAAGCACAGCAATATTTGACTTCATTACCTACACCTAGAATCCTCAGCTCGACTCACTAGATTCGACAACTTTTGTACACCACCGCTACCCGTAAGACACTCGCAGCTTCCGACACCCACACACAGCATCCAGCCATGTCCGATACGAACAATCACGCGCCATGCTACTTCATGGAGCTTCCGACTGAGTTGCGCCTCAAGATTTACCGCTACGTTCTTCCTGAGGTCATTAAACCCAATTATCAATCCCAAGTTCATGCCGCTTCTATTCTACGAGTTAATCATAAGGTCAATCAAGAGGCTTCTTCTGTGCTGTATGGAGAGACTCAATTTCATGCGTACATATCGCAAGATACCATCCAGCTACAAAATAAGTTATGGTGGCGGCGTACGGAGCCCAGAAGCCTCTCTATGATACTTTCGCCGTCAGCCAGATCCATCCGCCATCTTACCGTCCACGTCAATCTTCGGAGATGGTCCGATGCTCATTTTGATCTGTATGAAAGGGGCATCAGTGGTGATGAATACGAAGCCTATAAGGCGAGGGATAGCGTGCGGAAATTTATCGACTTCTTTACATCAGGAAATACTTCGCTGAAGTGGCTGGAAGTTAGGCCCACTCTGGTAAACTACTGCAGATGGTCTGAGGAAGACATTATCGCGGCGGTCTTTGTGGTTATAGGACCTTTCGAAGCGCTGAGCAACATCAAAACAGCAACATTGGTGGCCCTAAATTACACAAGATTCAGTAGACATGGTACCGAGCGTCGCTCAGCCATCGCTAGCCTCCATACCAATCAGCTTTACGGTCGACTTCGAGAGGAGTGGCTCTTTTCCATCACAGAGTCCAAGCCAGCCCCGGGACCCACGGACAACGAGCAGGGAAAGGTTGCGTACGGCGTTATCGAAGAAGTTCTTCGACTGATATATCGGGCAATGCCATATGCGGTGCGAGGTACTTACAGTTCGATCCATCGCCGCTTGGATGGCCTCGAGCTCCCGTTTCACTCCGCCCGCGTTGCCTACGAAAACGGCGATGTCGAGACTTTGGTAGCAATCAGAGAAGCCATCAGGGGAGAATGGGTCAAATTACAACCCCGGCTGTCGCGCGAAGCATCTGCCATCTCGCAGTCAATCTACGACGTGTTCAAGACTAGGGATATCGCAGAACTGCCCGAGTCAAATCCACGCGTCGTGCCATCAGAGACTAAGACGTCAAGTCCCGTTTCTACGATGGATGAGCTAATGGACTGGGACTGGTCGGAAGTTAAATGCGGGGTCCCCAAGCACGGTGAACCTGGCGTTACCATTAAGGAGGATAGTTGGAGGATCTACATTTACAAGGGCGGTAAAATGTGGACGCGTCTGAAGACACCGCAGGCGGTACGCGAAGCAAAGGGACGAGGCAGAGGCGATGGCATACTTTGAAGGCACTTCAGATTGTGTGCGTTGGTAGCAACGAGGCATTACCGTGCATGTGAGCAGCTCGCTTATGATTGGCGGTTATGACACGCGACGCAATACCACTTGTAGAATTATCTCGCATCAGATGAGAGATGAACGATTGGGAAAGGAGTGGACGAGAAGTGAGAGAAAGAGAGGACACCGGACAGATACAGAGAGGTTTGCATGTTTAGTTACCATCGTACACATCAGGGGAAGAGTGGCGTTGTGGAGATTGCGGTATCTTTAGGTGGAGTGTTCACTGAGTAGAGTGACAAGCGGACAGGAGCAATGACAGCATAGCAGCAAGTCATATGCGGGACGAAATCTCGTTTGTGGGGCACAAGATCCTGTTGTTGGACGACTTGCCGCTCCAAAGCGGTCTAACAGTGTAGCTGAGACAAGCCATCATAATTCCAGCCGCAATGTGGCTGGCACACGGGTCCAAGGTCAAGTCCACTTTCCCTGAATGCCCATGTGCCGACAAAAATCTTGGTGGGGGGAAGAAAGGCGGTTATCGGCAGGCGCCTTGAGTGATTTGCATGGTGAAATACGATCTTGAGCGGCGCAGCGTGCCTGGCGAGAACTGGTTTGCGGCACGACGATCGTCGATGTTATCGGTTATTTTTGGGCTTCATCTCGCTTTCGCAACTGCTGGCCATGCCTTGTGACGCAGCGGCAGAGCAGCAGGTTTTGAGGGAGATTTGGAGTTGCAGAGAGATGAGGGTCGCGACTGGTTGTTAGTAGTTGGCCGTGCCTTGTTCATGCGCATCCGGCAGAATGCCATGGCTTTCGCCAAAGTCGATGATTCCCATGTGCGCTCGGAGAGACTAGGCTCGGTTTCACCCGGCACGCCGCAACGAAATACGAGTAAGCATACGCCAAGCCGTCTCTCGCGACTAATCCTTCACATGCGGCGGTCGTCTGTTGCGAGCGCCGAAGCTTGTTGGGAGGTGACTGATGGCTCTGCATGGCCAAATGGCTTACTGTCGACGCTGACATAGGCGACCCGTGGCTGAAGTGGACTGCAGGCCGGGTTGAAGATCTTGGCTCGAAAAGCTTCGCATGTCATTGCCTGTACTAGCACCGGGTCTGCTGGAACGAGACAGGCGCAGACAGCAGCTTTACCGATTGGGACAGAGGGGCGGCATGTGTCAGCGAAGACAAAGGGTTGTGCATGCGGGCTGTTCATGGCAGAATAGCAGAGTTTTGATATCAATATCTTCACGTCGAAGAGGCATGTTGTGACAGTAGTCGCGGTGCTGTGGTGATGGAGGGGTCCATTCATTATTATCACGCCCGCCCTTCCGCTCCTAATCTGCCCTACTCCCTCCGGCACCCGCGGATTCTCTCATACGGCCAGGCACGATCTAGAGCGAAGGACTCCCCTAGCATCTACGTCACGCTTGCGCACGGTCGGTGTTGTGCACAAGCTCGGCGCTAGGAAGGGCTTGTCAGTGAAACGCAGCCATCTTGTACCGAAAACTGGGGGGTCACGTCATAGCCCATTCACCCTCGCATCGGCATACACGCCAGGCGCCCTTGCCAGCCACAGTATACTAAACCTCGCGTCTCCCGGCCTTGCTAGCATATCCATAGCAATTCTTTTTTCCTCCCCCAGGAACACCTTCCATTCCCCCCAGCAGCAGCACTCCCCCGCGTCTGCTTGCCCCCACTTGCGCTCAGGTAGTCTAACCACGCACACACGGGCAACGCTCTCGCACCACCCCGCCATGAGTTCCCTCAAGAGAGCGCTTGACAAGCTCAAGCCGCACCATGGGTCCTCGGCCTCAGACGACGAGAAGAGCGGCGTCAAGTCGCCCTCGTCCGTCAATTGCCGCGCACAGTCGCCCGTCGCGTCGCCGCGCTCTTCCGTCACCCTGGGCGGCTCGCGAGCAAGCGGCGAACATAAGCGCGCCGATGTTGCCTCGCCCACCGATAGCAGGACCAGCATCGACCAGCCCCGCAACTCCCTCAGCGGCATCCTCCACCGCCGCACCGAGAGCCCGAGCCGCACCGGTACCGACAAGACCAACAAGACCAACCGCTCCGGCTCTATCTCGCACAGCCCCATGCGAGCTGTCAAGGAGAAGCTGCACATTGGCAACGACTCGAGCGACGAAGATGCCCCCCTCAACCGCGAGGGCGAGCCCATGTCCCGCGGCCAGCTGCGCAAGCACGAGAAGCAGGCCCAGCAGGAAGAGCGCCACAAGCAGAACATGGAGAAGGAGCAAGAGCTCGAGCGCAGAAGGAAGGAGATGGAAGACCAGGCATTGGCTGAGCTGACTCCCGAGCAACGCTCCAAGTACGGTGTCATCGACCCCAACTCCTACGCTGGCGAGTGGAAGCATGAGCCCCGCCACAGGATCCAGGACTTCTCCGCAAAGGATGTTGGCAAGGAGGTTGTCTTCCGCGCCCGCATCCACCACCTCAGGAAGATGAGCTCCAAGTTCGTCTTCCTGATGTTCCGCCAGCAGCTCGCTACCATTCAGGGTGTTCTCTTGGAGCACGCGGATATCTCCAAGTATATGTTGTACTGGGCTGAGCACCTGGACGCCGAGACCATCGTCCTGGTCAAGGGTATCCTTCAGGAGCCCAAGGCCAAGCAGGGCGAGGTCCTTGGAGCAACCATCCATGACGTCGAGGTTTCGGTACACGCCCTCCACGTCGAGGCCGCCGTCACCGACCACCTGCCCTTCAACGTCAACGAAGCCGAGGTCTCACAGGCTGAGGTCGACGCTGAGCTTGCGAATGCAGACCACAAGGAGGGACACACCCGCGTCAAGATTGCGGATCGTACACGCTTGAACAACCGCGTTATCGATCTGAGGACAACAGCTTCACAGGGTATTTTCCGCATCCAGTCTGGTATCTGCAGGCTCTTCCGTAACCAGCTAGATTCGGAAGGCTTCATCGAAATCCACACCCCAAAGCTTCAGGGCGGTGCTACCGAGTCGGGTGCCAGTGTGTTCAAGATCGACTACTTTGGTCGTGGCGCCTTCCTTGCTCAGAGTCCCCAATTGGCCAAGCAGATGGCCATCTCTGCAGACTTTGGCAAAGTGTACGAAATCGGTGCCGTCTTCCGTGCTGAGAACAGTAACACGTACCGTCATTTGACTGAGTACACTGGTCTGGATCTGGAGATGCAGATCGACGAGCACTACCACGAGGTCCTCCGCGTGCTGGACCGCACTTTCAAGGCCATTTTCAAGGGTATCTACGACCAATACCGTCCCGAGATTGAGGTCATCAAGAAGCACTTCCCTCACGAGGACTTGGTCTGGCTGGACCAGACACCCATCATTCCCTTCGCCGACGGTGTTCGCATGCTGAACGAGTCTGGCTGGAGGGACGATGATGGCAATGAGCTTGACGTGAACGAAGACCTGGGTACCAGGGATGAGGTTCAGCTCGGTCGTGTCATCAAGCAGAAGCTTGGAACCGACTACTACATTCTAGACAAGTTCCCCGCGAACGCGCGCCCATTCTACGCCATGAACGACCCGAACGACCCTACCGTCACCAACTCCTTCGATATCTTCTGCAGAGGACAGGAGATTCTCAGTGGTGGCCAGCGTATCCACGACTCCACCTTGCTGCTGGACAAGATGCGCAAGCTCAAGGTCGATCCCGGTTCGATGGAAGACTACATCCAGGGCTTCCAATGGGGAGCACCGCCCCACGGTGGTGGTGGTATCGGTCTCGAGCGTATTCTCATGTTGATGATGAACCTCGGAAACATTCGCCATGCTTCCATGTTCCCTCGCGACCCGAAGAGTCTGCCAGAGCGGCCAGTCATCAAGCAGCTGCGTCATCCTGAGGCCAGCACCATGCACCCACCATGGGAAGGACAAGATCGTGCGGTCGCCAAGATCGATCTCCAGCCCATCGAGAAGCTCATCGCCAACTACGGTGATGCCACCAACACCTCCTGGTTGGAGCCTCGCACCGAGATCTGGCGCGACGAAAACACCGGTGCGGCTGTCGGCTTCGTACCTCAAGACGGCTTCGCCATCACTGTCGGTGACCCTCTTTGCCACGAGTCTCAATACCTCAAGACCATGGCTGGTTACCTCAAGTACATCAAGAAGGAGCGCAACCTCAAGCCACTGTGGCTTCTTGTAGGACACGCCACCGAGGAGGTGCTTGCAACCAAGTTCAACTGGCGCACATTCTCCGTCACTGGAGAGCAGCGTGTAGACCCTGTCCACAACCCTGCGGACAAGGACTCTGACGTGCAGCGCAAGATCCGCCACGCGGAGAAGGAGGGTGTCAAGATTAGCGATTATGCCCTCGGCACACCACCACCACCAGATGTCAAGGCTAAGGTCGATGCTCGTGTAGCGGATTGGCTGAACAACCGCAAGGGCAAGCAGGTCCATTTGACCAACATTCACCCATGGCAAGACGAGGAGCATCGCCAATACCACATCGCCTACACACCCGACGGCACTATCGCTGCCTTTGTCGCCATGGCGCAGCTTTCACCTGACCACGGCTGGCAAGTCAAGTACTCTCTCGACTTCCCCGGCGCACCCGGTGGCTCAATCGAGTACATTGTCACACACGCTCTCAAGCAAGTCGCTGCTAGCGGCGCAACCAGCGTCACCTTTGGTGGTGGTGCTAGCTCCAAGTTCAGCCCAGGACACAACGTCAAAGGCACTCGCGTCAAGGTGCTCAGCCGCGCCTACCACGCCATTGCGACCGAACTCAAGCTCACCAACAAGACTGAGTTCCGTGAGAAGCTGGGTGCAGTCGACGACCCAAGCTACATTTGCTACCCGCCCCACGGGCTGGGCCCTATGGCGGTCAAGGCCATCTTGAACTTCTTCTCTGACGATGACGACAACAACTAAGTAACATGTTGGTGGACGATATACACGCTAGGATAACGATACATTGATGGATGATCGAAGGCATGATACCACAAGGCGTTTGCTGTATGAGTAGACGGTACCTTTTACCTGTTTGACTCTTTTAGGGAC